GCTAAAACAAAAAAAAAAAAAAAAAAAATTTAAAATCAAACACCGGCTATCACTTCTAAAGAAAAGTCAGTATTATGGCATGATACACACTGCTTTGTCCAAATTGCATGAATATGTGTTGATTCACCCATTTTCCTGAGTCCTGCTTGGTATTCTGTCTTGGAAGTTGAGTGATTTTTTTGGTTTTGTTTTGTTTTTTAATTATATATAGGAAATAAAAGATCATAGCTATTATATCAAAGCTATTATTCTTGGCAAGAATATCAAATATCATCATCATTATCAGCATGTAACAGAAAGAGACAAGTAAACGTATGTTAAAAAAAGAAGAATTTTCCCTTCTTTTGCTTAACTAGCTTCTCTTATCTTTCTCCAAGAATGCCACCTCAAGCAGAAGAGCCAGAGATTCTGGCTTCAGACCCAAGGACCTGTTTGGTTAGCTGCAGTTTGCTTCTGGATTGCCCAGTAACCTAGGGATCTCATTTAAATTCTGGCCTATCTGAGTGTGTTCAGTGCAACAGCTATAAAAGGATTTGGTAAGACGGTGTCCCAATACTTGTTTTTGTATATTTAGCGACTAAAAAAAGAGTTTAATTGCTATGTAAACATAGCGGCTCACAAATACTGAAAATAAATATATTTATTTTATTTAAAGTATTCTTAAACCAAGACTATGCTTCTAACTTCTAAAACCCAAACGGCAGCACTAAACTGCCAGCAATATCCTATAAGATCATCAGGCTCCGAGACACGTGCGCCTACAATATCCAAAAAAGCATTTTATTCTTAAACTCTATTCCTGTCGCTTGTTCTAACAGATGAGTATCTCTTCCAGATCACTCTTGGCAGGATGACAGGAAACAGGTGGAACAGTAGTAGGAAACAGGTGAGAACATGGGGGGGTGTGCGTGCATGCACAAATAAGCTGGAAAGTCGTGAAGCGCACATAACGGCAAAAGCGTAACTGAATGTAAGATTTGTGAGGAGGGCTGGACTGAAACCAAGGAGCACTGAGCAGTACAAACATGGGTAAGGGCGCTATCAGATTGTCTAAACACTCCACTAGCATGTCCCAAGTGCCAAGAAAACGCTTTCTGAGCTGAGGGGAGAATGAATTTTCCATGCTCATTCTGTCATTGGCCTCTCTACGGAGAATATGAGGTCTGCTAATTAACGATAGGCTGTGCGGCCCATTATCAATTCTCCCCAGTGATCCAGTCCTTACATGTATTTTACTGTGGGTTGCTCAGAGCAACACAGAAGTAGTGGGAATCCTTAGGTCCAGGAAAAGCATCTAATTTAAAACATTGTCAGCCAGCCTTTAGAAACGATCATGATTTTCTATACCTTTGTAGGATAGAGGCGCTTGTTAGCTGCTCACTTGACCCCCTTTCTATGACCTGTCTCCTTTTGCTGTAGAAATAATAACCTAAAGTTTCCACACTTAGCAAGAATCTGAACAATGACAGTGGTAGATTATTTCAACAGAAGAACGCATGGACTCGATGATCTTGAGGTCTTTTTTTTGCTGTAGAAATAATAACCTAAAGTTTCCACACTTAGCAAGAATCTGAACAATGACAGTGGTAGATTATTTCAACAGAAGAACGCATGGACTCGATGATCTTAGAGGTCTTTTCCAACCTCAATGATTCTATGATTCTATGATTTAAATGGCTATCCATATGCCTTTCATTGAAGTGGGGGGGGGAATGTGTATGTGAAATGCCAGAATGCAAAGGAAAAGAACGTGACATGAAGTGAGGTTTTAGACACTTCCATCGGGATCTACTGCAATAACGTAAGCAACAGAGCTTGTAAATAACTAACAAAACTAGGAAGGGAGGAAGAGTTATTCTCATTTAGATATACAGTTATGATTTCTATTACGGTCAGTGACGGTCATAAGCTTATGTCTGACGAAAAAAAGGTGACACCTTTGCAATGACCAGTTTGTTCTGGTCATTTGAAACGCCAAGCACGCAACTTCTACATTTGGCTTGGAGAGCAGATCCAATGGCAGTAACTCACATAATATGGTTTACAACAATGAAAGCTGGCCCGTTCACATGAAAGAAAATGAAGAACACCACCTCTGAGATGTAAATTCTCCTGTTCAGTAATGTGATACAATTTCTTCTCCCAATCTTAGGTTCACGTATTGGCCAACAATGGCATTTGGCTTTTAAAAAGGGTTGCTTGATTCACTGCAGAAGAACTGCATCCCAACAAAGCTATGTTGTTAATGTGCCACTTTGTATTATGTCTGAAAGCTGTGATATGCTGGGGAGATTTCCACCAAGCATCCCACAATTAGACTAAATCACCCACAATGCAACAAAACACTCTATCACGCTGTTGTCTTGTAAGTAATCTTTATAAATTTAGCTCATCTTTGCACACTAAGACCTTGTGCCTCTGACAAAGACAACATTCTGAGTAGAGCCCGAGACGGGAGCTGCGCACAATGCTCCACACATCAGAAGGGCAAGAGAGCTCAGAGTATGAGTCTGTTTATTGAAAGCTGAACTTCAGTTGCAGGATTTACTTATTCCCAACAGAAAAACCACTGAAAAAAAATGAGAGCTCTGCAAAAAGAAAAAGCGCAGAATCAGGCCCAAAGCACAGTTTTAATTTTACCACATTGACAGATCAAATACTTGCCTTTAGTTCATAGTGGATTTGATCTGCATTAACAAATTTGTAAAAAAACCTAAACATGAGCTGACTTGCAGAGTTAAACAGAAACAGTTGTTGCTTATGTCCCTTAGCAATGTTGTACAGTACTTTAAATTGTTTGCAGCTAAAAAGCACGCACTGTACAATGGAGGTTAAAGGACTTCTGATCCCCATCCTTTGACACTCCCCAAAAAGCATTCCAAAAGTCAAACAGCCTTTGGACACAACTGGAAGATTTTGATGTGCACGTGAAGCCACTGAAGCTTCTGATTAAACTGCCGTGCTGATACAAAAAGAAAAGATAACGCACATGTATTTTCTTCTACGAATGCATCAAAACATGACTGATGCTGTTGTCAGAGGGATTCACTAAGAAAAACTTTCAAATTAAATGAAACTGTGGAAACAGCTCTTATTTCCCATCACTCACAGGGCATATTCTTAAGCTAGAGGATATTCTCATAATGCTCTTCACCCTTTCCACCTCCTTCAACCAGTTACTAGCCACACTCGTGGTTTTTTCCATAAAGATTACATAATCAAACAAGCCCCACCAAAGTGGAGCTAAAATACCTTTGTGCATCTCATCTTTTGCTCTTAATAGTTTAACAGTCTAAGAAGTCTCTCTCTGGTGGCCACCACTTTGCTTTACAAACTTAAGAGGCTTTAGCGTCCTCAATACTTTGTAATTCCATTGTTGTTGTTCCTAAATATATATTTACAAGCACAATAAAGAAACAATACAGCAGGCAGCAGAGCACTGCCTTTGTTCTCTGGGCAACAAGAAGTTGCTGGAAGTACTACTGCTATATTCATACTTATGAAACACATATTGTTGTGTAGTACAGTATTCGTTTCTCAAACCCTGGCAAAACAACATGTCCGGAGATCAATAAAGACGGTTAAAAAACGGCAATGAACTGCCACGATGACTGCTGCCAGGGAAATGTCTAAACAAATAATATCTTACAAATACAGGATCACCACAAGATTATACAATGCCACATACTTGGAGTACTCCCTCATTTCAAGCGGCTGTATGTTACACAATATAATGTATGTAGCTTTATTAAACAGTTTAAGCTCATTTTCATACCTTCTGGTTTTCCTTCATGTGTTATTACAACAAGGGGCTTGGTGAAGGTTTTCTTGTTGTGCATCATGGCCAAGATCATATCCACATTGAGAGAGGTGCAAGCTTCATCAGGAGGAATGCACTGTGGGTGGAAAAAACAGTGTGTGAGGTCAGAGAGTCACCTGTCTGCCAAGACAGCTGTTCCAGCTGCACAGTTGCCTCATTATCCGTTTTATCCTGTATTATTTACCAAAAAAAGAGGAGAACCTGCAAACAACCCCCGTGTAGCGTACTGGCAAAGGTAATTCTTAGCTGTGCTTCAGGACGTAAGCTTCGCCTTCATTAAGGATCCTCTAACCTTTATGAGAGTGTTACTATTGAACTTAAATGGTAGTAATTATTTTTAGTACATATGTTTTTTAAAAATCTGGTAGCCAAAACTGTAGCCACCAACACATCTGTTGATCAACAATGACAAATCATTTTTAAAAACTACATTTTAAGGGGGATGTGCATAAACCCCAAAGTAAAAATAAATTCCAAATCCTTAGAACACATTCTTTAACAACTAATATACAACCATTTCCATTAGTTATAAAGCAAGATTTGGCAATTCTCTTTTGAAACAATCAGATTGCAACATTACCTGATATTATGCATGTCTTTGGAAATTAAAGCTAACATTGTTTGTGCTTTGGATACGGATGCGATATGGATAACAAAGATAACTCTGAACCACATAACCACCTAATGAAATTTAAACAGAAACTGTAAATTATGCAGTCAAAATGCATGGCATCACAACTCTTATCTATTAAAATCTTGAGCCTAGAGATATCATGTTCATTACATCAATTCCATAGAAAACCGTTTATTCACTTCAAAGTTCAGATAAAAACCCAAAATCTTATTCTCACCTAAATCAGAAGTTTAGACTTTAAGAATTTACTGACCTTTGGCAGTCCTTGAGTATCTTTGTCTTTATTTGTACACAAAGTCAACTCGCAGTGCAGAAAGAGCAGCGAGATGTTGAACATTGGTTTAAACACAAAGCTAAATCTTTTTTTGTCCTTCTGTGCATGTGGTATCGGAAAGTTCACCTTCTCAATGCTGTAGAATTTAACAGATTCATCTTTAGGACAAATGTTTTCTATAATGGTGTAGTCAGACATTCTATCTGGATTTGAAAACGGGGAAACAAAGCATGTTTGAATGGCAAAGCCCAAGGATCTGTCAGCTTTAGTCACAGACACCTGCGTTAAAAAGAAAGAGAGGGTAGGATCTCAGAAACGACATTTTTAGTTCACATTTCATTAACATTTTCAACAATTTTTAAGCAGTTTTCCAGTGCCACTTCCAATCTGAACTATTTTGAATGCTAAATGTTAAGGGTGGACTGTCAAGCCGAGAGACAGAAAATCTGTGGTTTCAAAACCAGCAGCTGTTTAATAGCATAACCGTGCATAAATACAGCAATCCCTTATCTTTCCGAAAGCAGATGAAAAAACCAGTCCAGATCAGACGCGTAATTAATGACTGCAGCTGCCACCTGAGATGGCGCTGCTTCCCTCAGACACACAGACTGCAATGGAGCTGTCCGGAAGTCAATTACTAATTCCACCTCTTTGCATAGGGTAGGATCTCAGAAACGACATTTTTAGTTCACATTTCATTAACATTTTCAACAATTTTTAAGCAGTTTTCCAGTGCCACTTCCAATCTGAACTATTTTGAATGCTAAATGTTAAGGGTGGACTGTCAAGCCGAGAGACAGAAAATCTGCGGTTTCAAAACCAGCAGCTGTTTAATAGCATAACCGTGCATAAATACAGCAATCCCTTATCTTTCCGAAAGCAGATGAAAAAACCAGTCCAGATCAGATTAATGATTAATGACTGCAGCTGCCACCTGAGATGGCGCTGCTTCCCTCAGACACACAATGGAGCTGTCCGGAAGTCAATTACTAATTCCACGTCTTTGTATCTGTTTGAAACTTTTGAAAAAGAAAAAAAAAAAAAAGGCAACAAACACAACAGAAAACCCACCCCCAGCCAGGAGAGGAATGCAGAGGCAGAGAGGAGGTCATGGTCTGACGTGTGGGTGGCATTCCTGGACTGGGGGCAGGGGAGCCTCCTAAAAAGCCGTAATTTCTTGTGAAATGATCCTTTTAGTTTATTGTAAGTCTGAAATTCAGATTCTTTTATGAAAAATAATTAAGACTGCAAACTTCCAGGGCACTGATGTTGTTCAGCTGGACTGGAATGCAGACAACAAATGCTACACAATAATTAGGAAAAAAATTTAAATGGAATTTGTAACAAATGAAGCATGTTGCTCTTAATAAACAACAGAAGTGTTGTGCCTAACCATTAACACTGCCTGATGAAAACAGTTCCACAAGAAATAATCTCCTTCTTAGAAAAAACGTGCCTTAAATGTGTACTTAATCGTATGTGCTGCATGTATATTTAAGGAAGAGCCTGCCAAATTTTCCTGTGGTCTATACAGAAATGTTTGGATGCTACGAGTTGTGCAGTGAATAAAGGCATTTCTCATTTTTTCTCTCCCTTATGTCAGCAGCAATCAAATTAGAGACGAAGGGATGTGCTGAAGCATCTAAGCAAGAAAGACCATCTTCTAAAAAGAAGAGAAATAAAGACTGATGAATGAAACTCAAGCCGCAGATACTGACAGGTAAACAAGCTGATGGTGTAAACTAGTTAAAAAAGAGATTATGGCAAGGCGGACAGGCATACTACAGTATCATGAAACACCATCAGGTAAATAAAAGGAAAGAAGAGAACTACAGGAGGAAGGTGAGACCAAAATATGGTAAGAAAATGACAGTAGAGGACAAGGTAAAAAATGCCAAAAGATTCAAATACAAAAAACATTTTCAGCAGAGAAGGAGAAGGGAGATATATAGTTTTACAGATTATGACCTAAGCAATTTATTGACCAAAAAACCAAAATACATTTGTTAATAACAAAAGCAAGACAGAAACAAAAATGGAAAAAAAAAGCGTCAGCTAAAAATGGAGTCACAGAAGTTCAAAACTGATACAGATTTTCCACTGTGCAAGAAGGAGAAACAGAAAAAAAAGGCTTCTGCCAGGACAGGTGATGAAGAAATCAGAACATCTGTCTGAATAAACAGCTCCAGAACCAGACAAATCCAGAGGGCTCGGAGCCAGGGGGATTCATCCCAGATCGCTGAAGGAAGCAGCCGGTTTTATCCAAATGAAAAAATAATGTCTTTTATAAACATATTCTTAACCGAGCGTGACATACTTTCTTTTTGCTTCAACTGTCTTAAGTACTTTTCACTGGGTAGAGAACGAGGAAGAGACACAACACAGCGAAACAATGAAAACTGCACCAATGTCAAACGGGCCACTATGCTTATCATGTGCAACGCGGGCTCCCAAAGAGGAACTAACTTGGGCAAGAGAAACATGGCACGGCACTGCTTCCGTCAATATACTAATTTTCCCAGTCTTATAAGCCCATAGCTCACCGCTCCTTGATTTACTCATATATAAACTGGTGATGCTACTTCATTGCCAATGTTGTATTTATTAATGCCTACTGTTACTTGAAAAATGCAAAATTCTGTTCACATGACTATCTTTAGAAATTCTGACTGTATTGGTTTGACATTCCCCAGATTTCATAAGCAACTTAGCAACACATGGCAATATTACCAGGTCCAAAACGCACCTGAAGTCAAGGGTACCTGGCTGTTGACTTTGCTGTTCTTATTTATCTAAAGCTGTTAGATCTCTTGTATGATAGCATTCAAAAGGATTGTAACTGGTGTTTGTAAGTGCATCGGAGAGAGATCAGAATCTGTATTAACTTTGTAACCCGAGAACGCTAGCATATGGAAGACAGACACTTGCAACCATTTTTTGCACGTCTACATCTTTCAGATGAGGTTCAGCCATACTACCCAATAAAATGAACTCTGAAGTCTTCATCGGGAAATGCCAGTTCAGAGCAGGAGCTCAGAGACCACCTTTAAGTTCTGCATAGAAAAGCAGATTGCGCAAGAATGACCAATTTACCTTGTAGGTAAATTCATCCATTTTGCAGGAATCCTTCGGTTTTGACCCAAAACATTGTCCTGCTTCTTACCCCACGGTTTCTGTTCTCTGCAGCCACCAAAGTACCTACCTGTCTGCCTAAAGCAACTGCACAACGAGACCTTTCAACTGACAAGAACAGATTTGGCTCAGATGCATGGCCTTGCAAAATGTTTCCGTTAGTTTGAAAGCCTTTTTCAGTTTGTTACCTCTACATATATTGGCCCATTCTCAGCAACAGAGAAGAGTCCTTGGGAGGGAGCAAGGAACAGATCTGTTTTGTACAGCTCCATGTTGAAGGTCACATTGGTGATGTGTGGTTCAGGAGGCCAGAACATGCCTCTGTCATCCTCTGGCTGGTGCAGCGTGCAATTAAACTGAAATGAAAAAACCAACACAAATACATCCTGAGTCAGGAGCGGTAGCTGGATAAGGACAAATTTGGAGCGTACAATACAGGCCCACCCACGTTCCGTCTACTTAGTGCAAATCTTCAACAGGGTCACAAGAAATACAAGTGAGACGAAATGTGTTAAAAGACAAATTAATTGCTATACAATTAATGTAATTTATGTTAAGTGCCTATTACAATAGGCATTTCTCTACTGTCAGGTGCAAATCCGAGAGTAACATACCGCTATTTCACGCCAGCTTGAGAAAGCAACATCTCCCTCGTCAGCATCCCCTGGAAATCCATTATCACCTGATTCCATGTCGTCATCATCAAAGCCGCTGCTTTCAGCTGGTGATGACAGCTGAATGACAATCTGCACAAAAGGTATTGCAAACGCATTAGGTGATAACTGAGCACTCTCTCTTCATGGTTATTATTTTCTTCTCTCTTCAGAACAATGCAAAGACCAAAAGAAGTGCACCAGCTAAGCAGACGGTGAAAGCGCGTCTTAAACAGCCTTGTGCTGAGCATGTAAGATACGTAGGTTATATTTAGAGAACGCCCCTTAGTTTGTTTCCAGAATTCAGAGCCAGCAAAGACACTAGTCTGGGTGCCGGTGTCTGAATGAGCACCCTAGCATTTCCATTCTATTTCTGGTATTTCTATAATCAACATTGAAAAAAGAAATGGCTTTCTAAAGTGATTTTTTGCAACTTACAGTTTTCCTTAATGCACTCACGGAAAATCACTGAAAGTGTTAGGGTCATTACAGGATTTTCTCTTCTGTCATTTGCATTTTTTTTTCCAGAGATGTACACCCAAAACCATGATGTCCCTTTCTTAATTTTTCCCTTTGTTTTTCTCTGACATTCTACTGAATTCCCCCTCCTTTTTTATTTCCTCCTTTGCACACCTCTCCATTTCTTCACCTGAAAATTCCTGGTTTTGTTTTCCAGCGTTCTGCACTCTGCTTCTGTATGCCCTGCGGCTCCTCAGCTAGTCCCCTCCCTTCCAGGACTTCATCTTTGTTTTCTTGGACACAGAGCAACTGCTGTTGCATAGTGACATATACACCCTTTGAGACTCCACTGCATGGTGTTTATTTTTTAGGAGGAATGCTCCCAAATTCTGAAAGATACCATGCATGATTCTAAGTTTAAGTGAGTAGCCAAGACTATTAAAAGACACGATGGAGAAAGGAGGGAAGAGGAGGCAAATACCCATTTTAGTTTGGACCATAATAGAATATAGGGACAATGACAGTATTTAGCTCCAGACACGTGCTATTCTGTAGTTTGGAGATGTTTCTATCCACAGTCTTGGTTTGGGACTGTTTCTAAAGTTAGGTGCTACAGACTTGCCAGTATAGAACGGTTTTAACCAGGCAAGGTCAGATCAGATTGCCTTAGCTGTGTTTGGCTTGGACCACAGGCTTTCCATCATTTGCCAAGGTTACTTCTATGTACTGGAAAGCTCAGCAAGAGAAACGTGTCATTACTTTCCAAACCAGATTAGCTGCACTGTACTCAAGCTCATAAGCTGAGCCAGTCTTCTCCTTAGCATCATCACTCATATGCAAGTATTCAGAGTCCCTTCATCACGTACATCAACTGATAGCAAATATTAATCCAAATTATAAGAGAGAAGCATGCACAGATAATGTCTTTTCCTCACATTTTGAAAGCCTTTTTCACACACAATTTTGGAAGAAAAAGTTTCACTTAAAATAATTCAGCATATGAATTAAATGGTATTGCTTTGTGCAATCACAAAACTTCATTCCTATTCCTCCTTACAGCTACGTAGTACTGCTTATGTATGGGTACATCAAAGCTGCAGAGGGAAAGCTGGTGCAACTTCTCTGAGACCGGTACAGATGGTCCCCAAAGGGCAGCCATGCAGTTTTGTAAAAGTACTTAACTCCAACTCCTCCTCTTTCCTTTAGGATACTATACGACCACAGGAGCACACTGAATGTGCAGCCCTCATACCTCCTTGAATACAGGGACTGTAGCTGCAACGAGGTTTGAGCTAGACAGGAAAAGATCACGATGCCTCCTTTTTGCTAAGACTAAAGCTAACTACAATGGCTTCCTTGTACCACTGTGATGTGCCGTGCAGAAGGCAGCTCCTCTTTGTAAAATACTCACAGAATTAAAATAAACAATCTTGTTCAAGATATATGCTGTCCGAGTCCCGCATTTGTTCAGCGAAGACTCCAAAATGAAATGGGTGCCATTCATCCCGGCTTTGCAAGAGTGATCCAGCAGCGAGAGTTCTGTCCTTGTGTAGCCGCTAGCCTGAAACAAAGGCACTTTGTAAGTGGCTGAAACACAATTGTGTTAGGCTCTTGCTTCAAGTGCAGCGCAGAATACTGTTCATGACTGCTGATAGGAGGAAGTGAAGTTCATTGTACTGACACCCAGGGAAGGTCACTCTCAAAATGCTGTTACACATGGCACGCAGGGAACAAATGTAACATGGAACAAAGAAAACAACAGGTTCATTATTAATCTGCTGATTAATAATGCTGACTCTGTTTGGTCTGAAATGAGCTAAAAATGCTGTCTGTATCAGGCTCTTTTCCACAATGCAAACGGACACAAGCAACCTGTCAGCTGGTAGATGGTAAAGACGTATCTATTCAGGTCTCACACAGCTATCGAAAGCAGCTTCTTTGTATTTTGGAGATTAAAAACTCAGACTGATGTCTGAGTACGGTAATCTTTTGACAGAACCAACCCTGCAAAGCTTTAATCAGAAATCCCTCTACAAACTACCGGATTGTTGGGAAGAGGAAACATGACCCTGAGATATGGCAAAGAATACCTACAGTAGTTTCCTCACCAAACTATTTTTTGGAGGGTTGGGTGATGATGGCTGTAGATCTTAGAATGTTTATTTTTTCAGTCAAAATACAAATAGGAGAAATTTCTTCACCGAAAGGGTTGTCAAGCACTGGAACAGGCTGTCCAGGGAAGTGGCTGAGTCGCCATCCCTGGAGGTATTTAGAAGACATGTAGATGTGGTGCTTAGGGACATACACGGTTTAGCGGTGGACCTGGCAGTGCTAGGTTAACAGTTGGACGCAGTGATCTTAAAGGTCTTTTCCAACCTAAATGATTCTATGGCTCTATGAAATAAAATGGTCTGCGCAAAAAAGCCTGTCCAAATTTGAGAATAAGAGATCACACCAACCTGTAGAGAGTCTTTTTCTACAGCTACTGTCATGACTTTGTCATCACACTTTATTGACAGGGCTACATGAGCACTGCCCTGAAGCTCTTCCGGTTCTTTATGTTTCGAGAGTGAATGCTCAAAGTCATGATTTATTAACGTATCCACTGAACCCCTGGACGGGAAGATTCCTTCTCCCACTGTGTCATGTCTTCCTCTGTTAATGTGAAAAGGAAAAGTCAGGCCATCGCTTAATGCAGGATTCTTTGGGGCAGGCAGTGGGTTGGCACCCAGCAATTCTGTCAGCTCCGGAGGAAGGGAATGGTCTTCTTCATCATTCATCTCTTCTGAAAAGAAAAAAAGAAGGGAAAAAAAAAAAAAAGAACATTAGGTTATTCAATATTTTTTCTAAAAGTATTCAGAACTAATCATTTTCATACAGAAAAAAAAAATTATCCAGAAAGGAAGCTCTTTAAGGACATCCAAAGCAGCATCTTTGTACTTTTCAGGTAACTAGCCACAATTCTTCCACTAAGGGTTTAGTTGTTACTGAGGCATCTAATCTTGGTATATTTAGTCCCCGCTAGAAATCTCACTAAGAGTTGAAAATAAGCTTTAAGGAGTGGGCCTATTTTCTGCAAAAGGCAACCACAGAGGTAAAAGAAACATCACATTCAGCAAGTATGCTATTTTAGTGCTGCTGAAATAGCCCAAGTGCAAATCATGGGGTGAAATTCTTCCATTACCTGCCCCATCACAAATTCAGTCACTCCACTGTTGTGGAACTACTCGCATAACCAGAGTGAAGTTACATGAGAGTTAACTTTACACTGAGTAAATGAGAACACTAACTATCTCCTGGCTTATACACGCAACTGCTCAGGACAGAAATCTCAACGTTTGGCCCAAGCAGGTAATTATCTGTAACCCATGAGAGTGCAACTGATAAAATTCATGTGAACATAAGCTTTATCAAAACAGCTAAACAACATTTTTAGTGGTTGAAATTCAGAACTAGTGAAAAAGCAGATGCCACTCCACTAGCTTCAATGGACCCAGACATCTTTACATCAGCAATGACTTCGGCCAAATAACTAAATTTTTTTTAATGGTTGTATTTATTCTGTTCACTCAGACTTTTCCGGTAAGCCAGTTTTGTCTCTAAACAATTTAAATGTTCATTTAGTTGTCTCAAGGAAACACTATGCTCATACTTTTGGGGGGAAAAAAAAAAAAAAATCAAAGCTGCACTTTTTAACCAACAAGATATCCAGTTGCTGGTCCATTCCAGTGAACACTGAGCATGGTCAGCTATAACGGCTTGTGAGTTGAATAACTATAACCATGTAATTCCACCAACATATCAGGAAATAACACACTTTGCCTGGACTTTTCTAATCAAAAAGCCACAGATTTTTTTTTAACCAGCGTTCATAGATATTACCAGCATTCTTGATGATGAGCAGTGAAAGAGCAACCCCCAACAATTAAGCTTCAAAACTGAGAAAGCACCTTTCAAATCATCGTATCCCTGGAAATACAAGATATTTTTTTTTTATATGCTAAAAGTCCCTCTTCAAGCTTACCTGTATCTTCAAGTTGCAGATGAAATCTGTTAGCAACAGGGGCTTTTGTGTAGGAAGTAACTGGACTATAGTTATGCTCATAAGCCCACTTAATCAAGCTCTCATGCGATGAGGGAATATCAGGTATTACCGATTTACTCATAGTCATGGATCGTTCTGTTTCCTTTCCAAAACCAATACTATTTGATGTCTGCAAACAAAGAAAAACTTGGTTCATGTTTTACCATTTAAAACTTGGTTCATGATTTACCATTTAAGGATACTTAAAATGGAATAGTGACACTGATCGAACATGCTTTTTATTCTGTTTTACTCTGTTAAGTAACAGCAAACTGAGAACACCTGGGAAATAAACCAAACACTGCCACCTTAGGCACAGAACTGCTGCACACATGGAGAAAAGCCCCCCCTCCCTCCCACCCTCTGCCTGAGTACAATAACCAAACACTGCCACCTTAGGCACAGAACTGCTGCACACATGGAGAAAAGCCCCCCCTCCCTCCCACCCTCTGCCTGGAGTACAATAAATCAAGGTGGTCGGAAACGGTTAATCCCTAAACGAGACAAAGACGTATTTACAGCCATTTGTATAATGCTGTGTTTTCTTCAAAACTGAGTTGAAATGACTTCGAAGATGAGGTGAACTCAAGATGACAACTGATTTTTTCAAACGTCCCCTTCATTTCTTTGATTAGAGCGTTACTTCAGCTACGTATGGGAAAACCTTTGTTCAAATGAGCATTACTGAAAAAGGCAAAACACAGCACGCTCACGAAGTAGAGCTGATACCAGCTAATGCTTTAAAGTCAGCTGGCACCGAGGACGGTCTGTGCCTCTCTGAATGAGCTTCATACTAGAAATGTTGTGTGCCTCCTGCCAAATGTTGAGTATGTTAAACAGGACTGAATTAAATGCTTAATAGAGCAATAAGTGAGAGCATGCGCATTTATGCAAGGCCAAACTACTTAAAAGACAACATATACTTTCTGCACATAAATAAAATCTAAAATTTAATTAACAACGTAAGTTTTAGACAAATACATTGATACAGCAAACTCATAAATACACGTGCCGACTTCTTAGTTTTATTATTAAATAATTACAAATAACAGCTCGTCAAAGTTGGCCACGGAATACAGATGAGTCACACAGCTTTCGCTTTACTGTAAACATTTTGCAAAATTTCAAATTTTCTTGTCCAAATGGCCAAGTCAAAGGACTATAACAAGCATCTCTAGCTGTTAGAGGGGCAGTTAGAAAATATTCACTCGTATCACACTTTAACTTGCTTTTACTTGCTTGGCATCTTAAACTTAAACATGTATTCACACAAAGCTAAATACATATATATTTATTTTTACAGTCACAACATTACTATTATCACTATAACAATCACATCAATGACTACAGAAGAAGCTGAACATGCTCGCAGCAGGAAAGGCACGACGACCCACTTTTTAACGATTCCTGCAATGTGATTGAATTGCACTTTCTATATGCAGATGATACCATGGAATGCTCTACAACACACTTTCATTTCCATGCCTGATTACCTTCTCCGTCATACAGGCTGCATTTTTTTTTTTTTTTAAATCCCCACTGGTGCCCCTCAACGTGAACAAATCTTAATCCTCTCTCACTCTAAACGTCAAAAGATTGACTGCACTGATCTCTTTCGCCCAGATCGCTTTTAGGTGGTGGTCATATGGCCCTGCTACCCAGCGTCGCAGAGCTCGGTTGCACTTCTGTACCTGACCTCAGAAATGGAGCTTTTGAACCAAGGAGTGACTAAAGCTCAGAGCGTCCTGACGGAATGGCATAGTTTACCTTTAGCTCCCTCCCTCATTTCTTCCTAATGACCCAGTTCTGCACCCTTTAAAACACTCACAGCTTCACAGTTGAAGTTAAAGGGAATTTTAGTTGCAGAGTGTCTGGTTTGAGGATACTGTTACCAGTACAGTTATCAATGACTAGCAAAGGCCACTGAAGATAAGAAACAAAAAGGAAGCAATAGGTATCCTAATTTTAGTGCCTTATTACTGTTTTGGATCAAATAATCTTTTATTCTTCAACAGAAACAAATCTGGCCATGATTTATCACACATATTCATATAACCACACAGCTTTGACCGGTTGGAATTATTACGCTACCCCAACTTTGCTGGATCTCTCTCTCTGCTTTCCTTTTCTTTTTTTGTCATGAGGAGACAGCTGAACAAATATTATCTCAGAATTTTACTGTCCTAGCTGGCACCTGACCGTTTCCAGGGCTTGTTTATACCTCTCCACTCCACGCTGAGCCTGCAAATGTTCAGTCCTGCATTGCCTCAGTGAAATAAAACCGAGCACAATGGCTTGCAGGAATAGACACACTTGACTTGCCTGCCCTGCCAACACCTTCACACGCAGCGTATGAAACCAGGCAGAGTCACCTACTAACCTACTCGGAATAGAGAGAGACCATTTCAGAAACCGGCGAGCAGTTGTTCTCATGTAAAGAACAGTCCCTCCAAGCTTTTGAAACCTTCACAGGTTTGCTCTACGCATTTCACCTCTCTCGCTCTTTGCCCCTCAACACGCTTGTTCTCTTTGAGATAAATGGAAGCTAATAGAACTTATCAAACCTTTCTGCAATTTCACGTCTCTGTCCACTGTGCAACCTACAGGTTTGGAAAAGGACACCGAAGCCAAAGGAAACAATGTGAGCGGCCGAAAGTCCACAAGCACAGAAACGCACAAGCACTGCACGGGGGCTGACGTAAGGACAGACTGCAAACAGGAGCTAAACACAGCCCGGGAGGAAAGCACTGCACGGGTATGATGTGCAATTACTTTACCTAAACTATTCCCATTTTACTTGGTTGTGTGCCTATCCTCTTTCAGAGTTTCAAGAAACACAGCAAGCTGGGAGATGAGCTAGATGACCTAAAATGTCTTTTTCATTTTTTGTCTATGCACGTAAGGACAGACTGCAAACAGGAGCTAAACACAGCCCGGGAGGAAAGCACTGCACGGGTATGATGTGCAATTACTTTACCTAAACTATTCCCATTTTACTTGGTTGTGTGCCTATCCTCTTTCAGAGTTTCAAGAAACACAGCAAGCTGGGAGATGAGCTAGATGACCTAAAATGTCTTTTTCATTTTTTGTCTCTGAACTTAGACCTTAATAACTCACAGTCCTGGGTTTGAGGCAGCTCAGCACTAACCTTTCCCTCTTGGTTTGCCAATCCCCTCAAGACAATTCTGATTCGTACCGAGGGCAAGAAGTTAGGAAAATTGAAGCGCATGGAACTGATTCAACTAATAAAAAGAACATTGTGAAACATTACCTAATTGTTTAGTAATGTTTTTATGCATTGTCTAAATTTGGGCTTGGAAAGGCCTTCAGCTTAATAGATACGAACAGATCCTAAATACCGGACGTACAGGCTTTTTAATGACATGGGGGTGTCCAGTTCCCTCCCACCCCCCCCTCTAAATAAAGGAGACCAAACACACATTCAGAAAAGGAAGCATCTATATAAATGAAGCAGTACAGCAAACAGCTACTCGCAAATCCTAACATAAATATACAAAGTCTTTTATAT